AAATATGGTCAGTAACATTTATTCAACTTATAATTTATTAAATATTTTTTATTTTAATAATATATTAGACTATAATAGTATATTTAATGTATATTAAAATGAAAATAAATATCAATGATATCTTCTTTTAGCAAAAATGGCATTTGGGTTTTTATGTCTTCAATGGCCAGAAGACAATCATAGTAGTATTCAATATAAATCAGCTGTAATTGAATTATTAAACAATTGGATTAATAATGAACCACTCCCATTACAAGCAGTTACTACAATTTTGGATTGGTTACCAAATGAAATTTCAAAGTTGGAAAAAGCTCAAAATAATTTAAATAGAATACCCTCAATAACAAGAAGTAATTTTCATTTTTTATTTAAAAAAATGTTTGATGGATTAATTAATGGTATAAAAATAGTATTGCCAATGACTGAAAGGTATATAATTTTTTATTTACAAATAAAAATTATTTTACATAAAATAAAAATCTTAATAATTAATTAATTTTATTTTATTAGAGATCCTAAAAGAATAGAAATATGGTATGAAGTTGCAGAAAACGTGCAAAAATTAGTTCAAATATGTAAAACATTAACAACTAAAAATAATATATTGATATTTTTAAAAAATATGCCTATTTTGCTAAAGTTTTTTTTAAATCTTGGAATGCCAATTTTAGAACATAATTTAAAATACCAAACAGAAGATGTAACTAAAATATTGAAAATGATGCAAGGTATAAATTTTAGTTTTTTTATTAAATATTGATAATAATAAAATGGAAATATATAGTATAAATTATACATAGAATTTGTATTTTAGGAGGTACACGATATTTACACACAATTTGTTGTGATAGTGCAGAAAAGAAAGATCTTACATTAACAAAATATATTCCTGTAGCAAAATCTATATTAGAAAGATTAATTTACAGTGTAAAAGGAATGTTAGTTCTTAATAATAGTCCAGCTGCATTTTGGATGGGTAATCTTGTTAATAAAAACTTAGAAGGTCAAGAAATATTTTCTCAGGTTTGTTAATGAATTTTTAAAATTGTTTTTTAAAAATATAAATATAAATTTTATGTGTATTTAATGTACATTTCATATTTTTAGAATTTATCATCTGAAGAAAGTTCTGTACCAAATTCCAACATAATTGATGATGCAACTAATATATCATCAGATATATTAGAAAGTGATTCTAATAATGATTTTCCTGATGAAGATAATGTACCATAATTTTTTTTCTTTATAAAATAATATAAAAAAAAAATTTTACTAAATATATGAATTTTATAAAATACTATTTTTAAATATATATTTTAAACTTTTTATGAAAAATTTATATTTTTTTATACAACTCTAAAGATTTATACACATATTATATTAAATATAATAATATAATTAAATAAATACTTGTGTATAAATACTATTTAAATTTATTTTTATCATTACTATCAATTTTCACATTAATCTGTTATTAAATATTTGTCGTTTCCATGTTAAATCTGGCATAAGTGTTTCTTCAATAAATGTTATTTCATTATTTCCATTAACCAACAATATAGAATGAGTTCTTGTACAATATCCCCAATCAGTTGACACAAAAATTGAACTATATTCTTTATATTTAGTAGGATAAGATTTTTGTAATTCTGCATCTGGTAAATATCTGTAAATATGTAGTAAATGATATATTAATAAAAATTTTGTAATTTTACTTAATAATTATAATTATTTAACAAATTATGCAAACCTTTTTTTTGATTTCATAAATGTCAAGAGTTCTTCAATAAGTACTGTCTGTTTTGATACCTTAACATTTTTAATAATATTTTTGAAAATTTCTTTTCCTGCTTCAACTTTTTTGTATAAGATATCAAGACCATTACTAAAACCTAGGATATTATCTTCTACTGAAATGGGTCCTTTTGAAATTCGAGAATTACTAAGGTATTTAACATCAGCATTTCTAAATATTTAAATAATATTAAAAAATTTTATACTATACATATATATATAATGAATTTTAATTATAGATTTTTTTTTAGTTCATTTACATACTGTAAATTTAATAAAACCAAAAGAAAGGGATTATATTGAACTTCTTTATTTTCCTTATGTAATTGGTCTAAATATGATGTTGCAGAATGTTTTGATATAATAAAATTAGATACTAAAAATCCTCGTCCTTGCTTTGGTATATTTGTTGAACTTTTCTCTGAACTAGATAAATTTAAAACAACACCAGCTTTTCCTGTTAATGATACTCCTAACCAAGTTCCACCTTCTTTTCCAGATTCCATATCAATACCTAATAAAATATAAATTAAAATAAATTTATATTTAAGATTTATTACTTATTAATATATGTAATAATATATAACAATATGATATTAAAAAAAAAGAATTTATTATAAATTTATTATATCAATAAAAGATTATAAATTAATTTTAAAGGTAGTTTTTAACTTACCTCCTAAACATACTGGATGATTTTTCCAATAATGAGCTGGTAATGCTGCACGTTTAAGATATTCATCACGATTTGCAACCAAAATCAATCGATATGATTCAGAATTAGCATTAGGATTACGGTAAATAAATAAAATACACATTGTTGTAGTAAATTGCTTCAATGTTTCACAATATCTACTTATATCTTTTGTTTTATACCACTTTTATATGCTGTATATTATACGTTATTGATAAGATTGTTATGTGTATTTTTTAATCATAAATTAAGATAATAATCTATAATATTATAAATCTTTTTCATTGATAATTAAAGATAAGTTAAGCTATTTTAAATATCTGATACATTATATGATAAATAGGGAATCAAAATTATATATATTTTTTCACTATTAATATATAATTTTATAAAATAAAAAAAATTAATAGATTTTTTAACTGTAATTATATTTATATATTATTATTATATATATATTATATATATATTATATAATGTGTATATATAGTAAAGTAATATATAATAATATTACATTTTATTATTTAATAATGTTTTGTATTTTTGAAATTATTTTTTAAAATTAATAATATATAAAATATATAATAAATGTGTACTACATATATATATATTTAAAATTATGTTTTAAATATATATATGTAAAAATGTAAATTATGTTATATATGTTATATATAGAAATTTACGTACTTATAAAAATGATGTAACAAAAATTCAGACATTACGTATATGTATGTAAATATGCACGAAGCTATTGTGCTTATCTCTTTTCTGTCATGTCAATATTTATATATGATTTTATAAGAAATCTTAATTACTGATATATTGCTTATTTGTTACATTATCATGGTCTTCTATTATTATATTTATTATATATTTATTCTATTTTTATATTTTTTAAATATTTAATTATATTTAAATAAAAATAATTAATATATCACAATATACTTAAATATTTTACAAGAATATATATCACTATTAAAATCTCTAGATTATAATTAATACATTACAATAAATTAATTAAATATTTATATGTGTTGATATATAAATATCAACACATGTAAATATTAACATAATACAAAAATAAATAAATTTACATACGAAAATATTTTAACGATCAATTTTGCATAATAATTAAGAAAAACTGTTTATTTAACTCTTTGAATAATGTATTTCTTATAAATTATATAATATATAAACTATTTAAAAATTATATTTTTAAAAATAAATTTTTTTGACAGTAAAAAAAATTACATATTTTATTTTGTAATATAATTTTTATTATAACAGTACTTTAAAGAGAAGTACAAGATAATTTATATATATATATATAATTTTGTATTTATTATAAATTAGGGTTTTTTTAAATATTTATTATTTATTCGTTGTTAAATATTTTTCATCAAATTTTAATTAATTCTTAGTTAATATATTTTAGTTCAAGATAAAAAATAATATACATATTCATATTTATTGTTTTGCATTTTTTCCTATTTGACACTTTATTCTATTCAAAGCATTAATATTTAAAATTTCTTGTATTTTATATGCACATAAGATAATATAATATAATAATATAAATAACATAATTTTATTAAAGATTTATTAAATGAATATTAAATATTTATGATTTTATTAATAATTTTTAATAGATGCATTTATTTTTCTAACATTGATAAGTTCAATTATTTTATTAATTATTTCATATAATATAGAAATAATATAATATTTATAATATAATCAAATTTTTTAAATAAATTTATATTTCTTAATATTTGTACACTAGAATTCACATTTAATTCAATGTTAATCAAAATTTAATTCATGTTTATATTCATATAAATTGATTATTTTAAAAATATAATAAAAGAAAAAATTTTTGTATACATATTATTATATTTGTGCATAATTGTGTAAAATAAAAATATTATATATCATGTTAAATAAAATCTTACAAATAAACTTATTAAAGATATAATAAATTTATAAATAAAAAGATTTTTATTATATTAGAGATCAAAAGATTTTTTTTATAATACTGAGTTTTAGACTACAGTTTATACTAATAAATAATAATTAGAAAGATATAATATATATGAAATACTATCAAAATAAATATTTTTAAATAAAATAATAAGCAATATAAAATATTTATTAAAAACTTTCTTGGAACATAGCAAGATAGCAATATAGCAAAATCTCATGAATGAAAATTATATCATGAAATTTATATCTCATAAAATTATACAGTCTTTTATCTAGAAAAAATCCATAATAAGTAAAGTATGTAAAATAAAGTATAATATAATAAAAAAAAAAAAGAAAATTTTTCAATTTCTTAATTTGAAATAATTCAATTTTAAAAAATTTGAAAATTTGTATATAATTATATATATTATATAAATTTTATTTCATTTTATAAAATATATTTATAGATCAAAATTATTTCTACCTAAAACTTAAGTTAATATTACAAAAACAAGTTTTAATAAAATAGTATAATGTAGTTTTAAAAGTAACATTTTTCTTATTTATAATTTATAATTTACAACATCAAAATACCCAAAGATTTTTTAACATTAGATGTTTCTGGTAATGAAAGAGCCCATTTTCTTAAACCTGTTAATAAAACTGAACTTGTGACTACAATGGCTCCTCCAACTGAATAAGGATTTGGTATTTCATTAAAAAATAAAACTTGCCAAAAAAAAGCAAAAACTATGTCTGCTGATCTTGCTATTGCAACTGGTCCTGCTTGTTCCATTTGTAAAGCTAATGTTAATAGTATTTGACCACCAAAACTAAAAAGAGCAAGTGCAACAACTAGAAGTCTGTCAGTTCCACACCGAGGCAAGCATAATGCACCTATAGCCCAGGATATAACTATTGTCTGAATCAAGGCAAATGATCCAAAATTTGTCATAATTACTGAGAAATGAAGGCCTTTTAAAGCTCGCAATAAAATATATGCATTTGCACCAAAAAGAGTTGCTGAAAAAGCTGCTATTGCTCCCCATAAATCTGCATGTTGTGTTTTTACATGTCCATCTGAAAGTGATTCAATAGTATGTCCAAAGATAAGGGGTGGACGTGTTATTAAGATTACGCCAATCAATGTTAAACAAACTGTAATAACATTGAATAATCCACAAGGTTCTTTTAAAAATATTCTTGCAAATATAGCTACAAATACAGGAACAGAAAATACTACAACAGATGCATCAGCTAATGGCATATGCCGAAATGCATAGAAACTTAACATGAGACCAGTAGTCCCCACAAAACTTCTTAATATTAGCATTAATCTACGACCCTTTGGAAATGGATGTTCTCCTTTATATATTACAATTGGTATTGCTGGTAGTAATACACCCATAAATCGAAATGCTGCCAATTCCATTGGATTTACTTCGACTAAACCTTTCACAATAACACTGCATAATGAAAAAAATAATGATGATAATGTTGCTAAGATTAAACCAAGATAAGGGCAAGATTTACACATTAAAATGGAAAATCTTTTTTGTTGTATTATTGTATTACTTTCAGTATCACCATCAAGTAAATGATGTAATTCAACATGTTCTGACATGTCTGAAAGAAAAAATAAATTTCAAATACTTAAATTTTTTAAAAAATAAAAAAAGGACAAATATGTTAGCTAATAAATTTATATAAAACAAACATATAGTTATAGGGGGGTAGAAACTACAAGAATAAAATATTACTAAAGGAAAATTTACTATTAAGAAATTAAAAAATATGATATTAAATAAATTTGTTTATTAATAATTAAATAATAATAATAATAATAAAATAAAAACGAATAAATAATGTATTGATAAATTTAAGTGAATTTGAAATTTATAAATAATTTATTTTTCAAATATATCTGTAATGTTAATTAATAATAATATATAGTTGATTTTGTTATCAAATATTACAACTCACCTGCAACAGATTTAATAAATGATTAATTACAGCATATAGAAATACTAATAAAATTATATAATAAATAATTAGTGTAATACATTTATAAATTATTTGGAAGACTAATTTATTTTAAAAATTCTCATAACACATTTTTGTTTATTATTAATGATAATATCCATCACATTTTTCAATTTCTATTTTAATTGAAAAATCACGTTGTTACTTGCATGAAGTAAGCAACTCATATCTATATTTCACTATCAATGAAAAGGACGTATTTAATTTAGATTACATATATCCTTTGAATAAATACTACTTTTAAAATGTTTCTGTAAAATTTTTAAAAATTTAGTTTTAAATAAATAAGAACTATTCTAAACAATTAATAATAAAAGTTAATGCATATTTTAATAGTATAAATTCACTTTTAATGCACATCAAGTTACTAAATTAAGAAATTTCTTAATAATTAATTAATTAATAAATATTGTTATTTTTATTAATTTTATTATTATTAATTTTTCTATTTTTTATATTTAAATATAAATATATTTTAATGCATTCAAATATTAAAAACTTTAAATTAAAAAATGTTTAAAAAATGTTTAATTAAAATAACAATACATTTAAAATAATATTAATAATAAATAAAAACAAAACATTTTATATTAAATATTATCTTAAATAATACAATATGTAAAATATAAATATATTATATAAACTTAAATATTAAAATCTTTTATCATAATTTAGAAAAGAAATAAAAAAGGAAAAAGATTTTTATAATAAATATATACATTTCTTAAATAATATAATCTATAAATTAGTATTAAAAAAATAGTAATTTAAAGCTAAAAAAAAGATATTGAGAATAAGTATAATGAAAGTCAAGATATTTAAATTAAAATACAAATTTCATTTGAATTTCGCGGAAAATTAAAGATGGGTGGAGTCGATTTATTAATCTTCTATCTTTATAAGATATGTGTGTGTATGTGTGTTTATATATTTGATAGAGAGATTAGATTTTATCATTTTTTATTATTATATTATTATTTTTTAAAATAAAATTACAATAATATAATTATAATATATAATATAATATTAAATTACAAAAATATAAGAAATATATTCATGAAAATATATATAATATGTATGATTAAATTACATATTTAATTTTCTTCATTTTATCGTATAAAATTTATTTATTATTTATACATTGATAATTTATTTACTTTTATTCATTATAATTAAACAAGTATATAAAATTTCAGATATTAGAAATATTTAATATATATTGTATAATATTATTTCTATTATATATATTTCTACATATGCATGCATGCACAAACTATTAGACATATATATTGCAGATTTTAAAATAAGTTTTGAAATATTTATATTTATATTTTTTATAAAATGTGCATTAAATTTATAAACATTTCATATTTTAAATATTCAATTTTGTTTATTATTAAGTTAATATAAAATTATTATTATCATTATTATTATACATTTATATATATAAAGTTCATTAATATTATTTATTTACTTAAATTAATTTATTCAAAAATTCTAATTTGTATATTTTAAATTATATTTTTATTTTTATTTTAAAATGTTAAATATTCTTTTATTTAAAATAAAAATGCATTTTAATCTAGTAATTTGCATATGTTGTATTTTTAAAAATTAAAACAAATAAAAAACAAAAATTCTTTCAATGTTCAACATTTTTTAAAATTACTACTATCCATGTTACAAATTTTTAAATATTTTTAAATGTATACAATAAATAAATATTATATATAAGTAACTTAAATAACGTAAAATAACATTATTTTCTTTTTTTTACATATTAATTTATATAGTTTACATATTAAGATTATCTTAACAATGTATAAAATTGCATGACAAATATTTTTTAATCACATTTTCAGAAACGTTTATTTTTATATGATAAATAATAATGCCATCTGCAGGAACAAATTATTTGAGTATCTTTATTACTCTATGCTTGCACAATGGTATACGAAGTTCCTTCTAAAATGCTGTTATTCAATGGTCGTATGTATGAATTTCATAGTGTTCGCAGGTTACAATAAATCAGACAATTTTTCAATTAAAGTTGAATTAAGATTGGAATTGTAGTGTAGTGTGCAAGAACCATTAATTGTAAGATACAGAATCGAGAACTATTTAATGGATCCGACTATCGGTTGGTATCAACCGGAGCAGTTCGGCCCTGCTAAGGATTTGTGGTTACACATTTGGGAAGCTGAAAAAGGCTTGGATATTTTAACATTGAAAAACGATTCATCTTCGAATGTAATGGGTGTGAAGCTTCAACAAGATTTCATATCTTTAGATTCTCTCAATTCTCGTACGGGAGATCGCATGCAACATAATACTTGTAATAGCTATTATAATCCATCGCGTAGGAAAGGTGATAATCGTGCTAGTACCTATGGCATGAACTACAATTATGATGCCTTAGTTGGCGAATACGGTGGTTGTCCATGGCGAGTACCCAATAAACATTATTCAAAAGGTGTTATTGGGTAAGTCTTGTTATTAAATTTTAATTTATTTTTTTTTTTTATGAAAGTTTAACCATTAACCTTTCTATAGTTCGTCCATATGGGCATGATTAAGGTTATGTGCACACTCGTTTACAAATAGGATATAGCAAGGCTCTTTATAATTAGATATGGTACAAATAAGAATTTATTTTCTTTGTAATAATAAATATAATTTATTTAATTAAATATATCTTCCAAATATTTAATTTTTTTAATTTTTACAAACTCTTTTATCAACGCATTTTTAGTCTTTATTAATATGCATAATGATTTTGTAAACACACGTGGATGTTTATATAATATGAGTATTTATGTTTATATTCATAATAATTCAACATTATTCAAATTTGAAAATATTGTAGAATGTTAATTAGAAATTTTAATTTTTTTATTGAATTTTATAATTATAAAATTTAATATATTTTTATAATTATAAATATTGTTTAAATTTTATTTATATATTTATTTATTTGAATTAATTTTTTTTAA